ACAAAATACATTCACAGTTATAGCAATCCATGAATACTTAACAGTTTTAGCTGTGGTATAGCGGCTCATAGAATGATTCCGAGTTTTTTTTTGTTTCTTTCCAAGTACAAACTTTTAGCTCATAGCTCCATCATCTCATGACAGAATTGAGATCTAATTACAGTTTTGGACTCATGAGGTCAAACCCTTTCAATTGATGTATTTGACCACATCCAAGGTCTCAGATATTAATTTACTCTAATCCTGACGAAGTACTAAAACTAAATCAGGTATATGTGCTTCTTATTGCTGGTACACAAAAATATACCAAATAAAAAGGTCTCACAGGTTAATTTACTCTAATCCTGCCTAAAATAATTTCAAGTGCCACAACTATTGAGGATTCCCTCTTGTTTATACTCTTCTATAATCCATCATATAATAAGGTACACCACATTTCTCTGTATTAAGCCTTCACGGAATCATTCTCAGCTTGCTTTGAAACAACAGCCAGTTCTAGACTGAGAAATATTACCTTAAATAGTTCAGTGCTCACCACAATTACATGAACAGCCAACCAAGCTTAAATCTCTGTAAACACATGAAATTTCAAGGGCTAAATGCTAAAATTGGTTTTATCAGAGATTACAACAGAGCTTAATAATCTGTTACCAACACTTTTTTCATTCTAAAATACTGAAAATTGTTCATAACTGAACAAGAAATTGGTAATTTAGCAAAAATATTATACATAACTAATGTGTTTTTTTTTCATACACAAAAAATAAAAAATATTGCCAATCCTTTTAACATTCACAAGATCACGAGCTTAAAACTTTCTCAGCATCCAAAATTTCCAGGTTCTTCAACCCTACATACAGGGGGTTGGTTCAATGGACTGCCCATATTTAAAAATTAATGTTTACTATAAATTCTATAACTCAGAATTTACTGATTGTGTCTTCACCAAATTTGGTAAGCTTTCAGTAAATATTACAAGTATGTTTTACACCAAAAAACATTATTACAGATTTGTCTCTGAATTTACTTTAATCAGTCTGACTAGTCTGAGTGCAAGGTGAATTTCACATTAAGAATATAAATATTTTTTTTATCTTTCAGGTTTTCATGAGCTCTTTAACCTCCTAAATGAATATCAAGTTTTTTTCAGTAACACTTTATATCTTATCTACCCTAACACATGTGCTACGTCCGTTTCACCAACCTTGTAACACCCACAAAAAACCTAAATTAGCCTTTTTTTTTTCTTTCTAGAATGAATGCATATTGTAACAAAAAATTACAAGTATTTATCCTAAACATCCTCAGGTTTGTAATTTTATTGCTCTTTGAATTGTGTTGAACCACTAAACATGCATAAAGTAAATGAGAAATCACCTAGCGAGCATATAGCTTAAGTTAGGGTAAATGTGCATACCCCTATGAGAATCTACATTTAATTTCCTTTTTAACTTATATTTTCTTAGCTAATTTAATAAGTTTCAAATTTTTGCAGTTTTAGTTACTTTTATAACAATATGTACAAAAAATATAAATAAACAAGAAACATTACACTTACATGTGGTTCTAGTACTCAGTCTTGGTAAAAGTTAACCAAAGTTTTTGGTACAGTTGTTGCGACTTTATAATGAATTTTTATTAATTTCAAATGTTCAACTTAGAACATGTACAAAGAATACAATGCCCTATAACTATTATAATAATTCCCTTATCATGAATCTTTGAATCTGTAGGCTAGTATTATATCTTTTCTTCCTGTTAGATATAAATAATACTAGACCACCCGTGACCCGTTGGGTCACCCACTATTCAGAGGTTATGAAGAATTCAAGCTAATTTCAATATTGCACCGAAATGAAAGTTTATTTTGAGATAGTATAATTAAATATTTCAATCCATTCGTGTTATTCATAATTCAAGAAAAGATATTTGATTGTTGATAGGTAGTAAAAGGAAAGACCATTTCATTTTTCAAAAAAGTGAAGTCAGAGTTTTTAGGTATTGTGATGAACAAACCTTATTCACAGTTGATTCAAAACGGCTGAAAATAACATATCATAATAATGTTATATATATGGTTTATTAAAACGTAATTGATATCAACAAACCAGAAAAAGCTGTTTCAGAAAAACATTTCATATTTACTTGCTCAAATTACTGCAAGAAACAGCAAAACTTGATAACTGATACACTACGAAATTAGCCAAATGAAAAATCTTTCTCACTGTCTCACAGCGAATGATTTTTTGACTGAGAAAATTTTCTCATTTCCTTACCTACCATAACCAAGGCACATTATTGAGAAATTCTTCAAGATCTTGTTTTTGTCATCTTACGCCCTTTTAATGAAGATGGGAACATTGATAGGGAAATAGATTTGAATGAAAAAATAGCACAAACGGTAGTGTGATGTAAAATTATTCATGCT